TACTGGAGTGTGATGCGCTAGGGAATTTCAAACAGTCCAACATGGCTGAGCCATGTGTGTGAGGGGAGTGGGGACTACACATCCCTACAACAGAAACTGTGTCTGGAGAGCACATAGTGACACCACTGCAAAAGAGCATGGGACCGACTCCTGAGCTGACATTTCTGCATTTATAGTGACCGCTATGAAGTTCAATGTAATTGAATCGCAGGGAGGTTTCCTTCTTTTCTGACCACAAACCAGCGCACAACATGAAAGGGCGGCAGCTTCATATACTTTTAAAATACGTTTTTCTCTTGAGGCACTTGTTCATTTCAGTGATCTCACATTTTTAGAAAAGAATTATTTTATTTTTATTGCAAAGTCAGATATAAAGAGAGGAGGAGATACAGAGAAGATCTTCCATCTGATGATTTATTCTCCAAATGACACAATGGCTGGAGCTGAGCCAATCTGAAGCCAGAAGCCTGGAGCATTTACTGGGTCTCCCATGCAGGTGCAGGGTCCCAAGGCGTTGGGCCATCCTTGACTGCTTTTCCAAACTACAAGCAGGGAGCTGGATACAAAGCGGGGCAGCCAGGATTAGAACCGGTGCCCATATGGGATCTAGGTATATGCAAGGCAAGGACATTAGTAGCTGCCAGGCTACTACACCAGGCCCCATTGATCTCACATTTTAAGTTGCAAATGTTGACGTACAAGAAAAGTTTCCTTTGCTAACTACAGGACTATAATCATAACTAAACCAAGTTAGAAAATAACTGATTTTCCTGATGGATATTAACCACGTTTCTTTTCAATTAAGTAAGATTTGTTACCATACAGAACTGTTTATCCTATTGGTTTTTTGTGTGTGGCTAAATGAAATGCTATAAATAGCCTTGTAGGACATGCAATATTGTATACCCTCAATATGTAATTATCAATTGCTCAAGACTATTTAGAGCACATGCTACCAGAATTGTACAGTTTCATGAGTTCACTATTAACTGTGCTAAATCTGTCACATTAGATAAGTTCTTTGTCTACAAATGACTGCAATCTGTTAACACTCATTTGTGTGAATTTAACATGTTTGCCACTCAGCTCTCTTAAGAGACTAATAAAATCCTAAATTCTGGTAATATTAGGTAAAGAATATTCTCTATTAAGTAAAGAATATTTGGCATGTGGTGGAATGGCACTCAATGTTTATTTGGTACTAAGATGTCACACAGGAAATTATTTGTCACTTCAAATGAAGATCTTTGATTTTTCTGGAACTGGCTGTTCAACAGATATAATTTATGTTTAGAATTTCCAGCATCCATATCTGAGAACGGGAAAGCAGTTGAAATTAATTTAAGTAAACATTTCATTTAGGTTGATGCATCAAATGATTAGCTTTAATATGTAATCAATATATTAGTGGGATAGTTTGGTCTTTTTTCCCCCTTTATGAAGCCTTCATAATTTTTTTAAATTATAGCACAACCCAATTCAAATGACACATTCTCATCAGAAATACTTGGTCTGTATCTAGATTTCTGCAATTTTACATATTAAAGGGAGGATTCATAGCGTTAAGGTTTTCAAGCAGAATTTTAACAATTTTCAATAATGGACAAAAATCATTTTTTAAATTTGTTATTTAAAAAGAGGCAAAATAAATAGTTAGTTATATGTCAAATACTGAACAGATACATGCAGTGAGTGCCTTATGGGCTGTGTAGTTGTAGGGAATTATTTTCCAGCAGGCTGATGGTAGGTACTGCTCTTTTGTGGCAATTCTGTGTAGGTTTAGCACTGTAGATTTTTATTTCTCTTTTGAAAAGCAAAAGCTAGTTCTTGAAACTTTCATTATCTATCATATTGAGTTAGAAGCCTCTAACTTGAATGTGTCACATTTGATTAGTAACCTTAAAGAAAATTACTGAGTCTTAAAGTACTGCTTTGTCATTTAGTGATACAAGAAAATTTTGCTCACGAGCATGTTCATGATTAAGGACTAGGACTGAATGGTTTGGATTCTATCACTGTACTGCCTCAGGAAGTTGGAAGGGGAAGCTTGTTCAAGCGGGGTACACACTCCATTACTCCTTTTAAAAACACAATGACGTGTTTTTATCCTATTAAAAGCACATTTTCAGGCCCAGTGCGGTAGCCTAGCAGCTAAAGTCTTTGCCTTGCATGCGCTGGGATCGCATATGAGCACTGGTTTGGGTCCTAGTAGCCCCACTTCCCTTCCAGCTCCCTGCTTGTGGCCTGGGAAAGCAGTCGAAGACAGCTCAAAGCTTTGGGACTGTGCTTCTGCATGGGAGATCCGAAAAAGCTCCTGGCTCCTGGCTTCAGATTGGCTCAGCTCCAGCCATTTTGGCCACTAGAGGAGTGAATCATCAGAGGAAGATCTTCCTCTCTGTCTCTCCTCCTCTCTGCATGTCTGACTTTACAATAAATAAATAAATGAATAGATAAATAAATAAAGCACATTTCCATTTACTTTTAGCTATGTATCAAACCTAAAAGTAATGGTATTAATACTTGAAAATTATTATTTGGGGGGGTGGACTTGTTTCTAACTTTTGTTAGCCAGAATTATGAGTCTGAATTATTCAATAATTATTTCATTTATACATAACTGTACTACTATAAACCTTAACAAATAGTTGACTTAGAAAATACTCCTTGTTATTATTTAACATTCGGTAAATTCCAATATGGACCCACAAGTGTGGCTAAAGGAATGGTCATACTTTTATTTTAAAATTTTGAAAATTTTCACTCTCTGAAAGAGAAGAAGAGAATTCTACAAGCCATTGATTTATTTCCCCATGTGGAAATGGGCCGGATCGGAAATGTAGCCCGGAACTCAATCCTGGCCTCCTACATGGGTAGCGGGCTCTTGAACCAGCAGCAGTTGCCTCCGGTGTGCACATTAGCAGGAGTCTGGACACAGCAGCAGTCAAGACTCAAACCCAGGCACTTCCATTTGGGATGTGGGTGTCCCAAATGGGGCCTTAGCTGCACCAAACTTTTAATGCATATACATCAAAGTGTATGGAAACCACTGGGCCAGAAGCCTGACCTCTCCCTTCAGCTGTCTCCAATTAGTCATTATATTTTATGGGGGCAGGGGTTAACCCGTGGGCTTTGTGACTGGTGCAGGACTGAACAGCACTGCACATTCCAGTTATCTTCTGTATTTTATTAACCTGGTACATCTATGACCTTAAATAAATCACTGGAGTAGAATTTTGTAAAATATACATATATGCACACGTGCCTCTTAGGTCAAGATAACATGCAAGAGCAAAATCCAAGCTAGCCGCTGAAGGAAAAACTTGTATTTTCATGGTTAAACCCGCTTTCACAGAAACTTTATTCCCCGGTTAGTACAGGGGCTTTTGTAATACACGCTTCTTCTGTGTGATTGCTGTGGTCAGTGACACTACCTTAGCAGTGGTCACAGGCGGCAGTGGCTGTGGTTCATCAAAAAAGTGCAAGCTTCTATCCTGGCACGTTGGGTCCGCCTCAGCGATTCAGAAACTTTGCAGAGGACCCGTAAGAGCTTGGCATTCCCAGTTACACCCCCCTAATTCAGCCTGCAGTGTGCAGTTCCAAAGCCCGAATTCTCTTGACGGAGCTGCGATGACCACCAAAGGGGTCTTGCGGTTTTTATTTGCTTTGTGAACTTGCAAAATGTTTATAAGGCAAAAAATGCATAAAGAAATAAATATTATGGAGTGTTCTACAAGTGAATATGCACCAAGTGAGAATTTATTTTTTTCTCAGAGGATTTTTATTTGCTATTTTTATTTGCTATTTGCTATGGGTCTTTTGGACCCATGTTCTTAGGGTCAAGTGTTAACTTTTCAGAAACAATCTTTAATGAGTCGAGATAAAAACCATCTGCTGCCCGCACTCTTCCTTCAATGGATGGACTTCAGGAGAGAAAATTAATTTCTCATCATTGTAAGAGGAGAGAGAAGGGAAGAAGAAAGGAGGGTTAGGGAGAAAGAGGAGGAAGAAAGGAAAGAATAAATAAAAGAAGGGGAGGAAGAAAAAGATCTGTCCGCTTCTGTCTAATGTTTGTCTTGCAGCCCATCCTTGAAGTGGAAAGGCACAGCAACAGAGACATGGTCAGGTTTTTGTCCTAGAGGCTGAGTGTGCAGAATAGAAGCTCTCAAATAAGCTAGGGGGGAAAAAAACAACAAAGCAGCATTGATTTTTTAAAGGGCTAATGGGCCTTGAACAATGCAGTATACATTCGCAAAGTCTGCAGAAGGTAATCAGGAGTGGCAGGTGTGTGGGAGGATTCAGAAGCCACCTGGAAGGGCTAGGTCAGGGCCCAAATGGGAGATGGCTGGCCTGAGTGACACTTCCTTGCGTCCCAGGAAGTGACGATCAGCCAGGGTGCGTGTTGGGACTCTCTGCCGCAGGGTGAGGGGAGCCCTCTGTGGCCCGTGCCATTCCCAAGGAGCCCAGGTCGTCCGAGTCTCAGTCCTGGTACCAAGGCTTCTCCGGCCGCACCTCCAAGGCTGCTGGCGCTGCTGTGCGGCTGTTCTGCCCATTGCACAACTGTGAGGGTGACCCTGAACCCTACGGCTCCTCCAAGAAAGAGACTTAAAGGGGGGCTCGGGTCAGCAACTGAGGAAGCTGGGATACGGGGGCGGAGGCGAAGCATTTTAGAATGGAGAAAGTCCTGAGATCCATACGCAGGAGTGTAAGATCTAGCGTAGTATCTACAATCAAACGGACAATAAAAGGGGGAGGGGGCACTTGTCTGCATCAGCTCTCTCGCACCCCAACCCGGCAAAAACCAAACAGGAATAAATTAAAAAAAAATTTTTTTTTAAAAAAAGCACCACGGGCTCTTAGACGACCATAAACTCCGCGGGTGGGGCGAGAAGCAAAAATAAACAAGGACAGGCGGGGCCCTGAGAGCGCGGGAGGAGGAGGAGGCGGCTCCGCATCCCTAATGAGGGAATGAATGGAGTGGCCCCCTCGGCTGGCGCCCGCCCACCCGGCGGCGGCCGCCAAGTGCCTCTGGGCGCTGCGTGCCTCGCCCGCCGCTCCGCGCGCAGCCTGCTCCGGCCGCTCCTCCGGGCTGAGGCGCGGCGGTGGCGGCGGCGGGGAAGCGCGGACCCCGCAGGGACGCGCGCGCGCCGGGGGCTCGGGTGCCGGGAGTCGGGACGCCGCCGCTGCTGGGCCCGGGGCGCGTGGCTGCGGCGGGGCCGGGCGGCGCCGCACACCTGAGGCGGGGCGCTGTCAGGGCCGCCGAGCCGGGCTCGTGGGGACGAGCCGGGCAGTGATTGGAGACGCCGAGTTCACCTTCAGCCATGGCCCGGAGAGCTTAGCGGGGGCCCCGGACGCCGCCCCCCACAACCCCAGGCTCCCTTTTCCACCCTCCGCCTCCTGTCCCTCGGCGCCGCATCCTGCCGGCCTCGCCGTCCGGCTCGCGCCGGGCTACGGCTCTCGCCCGGAGCCCTCCCTGGCTCCGGCCCGCGTCTCCCGGCGGCGCCGCCGTGCGGAGCGGCTCCCCCTCCTCTTCCTCCGCGTCCTCTTCCCCCTCTCCACCGCCGGGGCCGCTTGTTGCACCGCCCCGCGGCCTGCGGGAGCCGCTCGCCCGGGCCGGGCTCTGGCCTTGTGCTTGCCTCTGCACTCTCTCCTTCTGGCCCCAGGGGCCCGCACACGAGCCCGGCCGGTGGGACCCCGGCCCGACCCCGGCCGTCCGCACAAAATGTCGGCCCGGACGCCATTGCCGACGGTGAACGAGCGGGACACGGAGAATGTGAGTAACTGAAGCCTTCCCTGGCAGCGCCGGAGGCGAGACCCTCCTTCCAGCCTCACTTTTACCCTCCTCTTGGGCTGCCGCTGGTCCCCTGGCGAGGCTACCAGCGGCTGGGTCTTCATCCTGGAGCCCAGTGAGACCCTCACCCACTGCTCAGCCCTATTCTTTATTGCAATGCCGTTTCACTTGGTTCCCCTCTACGATGAGGATGGGGGCACTGGCGGTGGCGACCTCTCGGCCGGAGGTGGTCCTGCGGGGGAGGATGGGGTGATGGAGGGCAGGGAGACGGAAGGCGATGTCAGAGTGGGCATCCGGCATTGCTTTCTTTCCACCTCTGCATTCTGTATCTGCCCCCCCCCCCCCCCCGTGGATGCCTGCTTTATGAGAACCCCCGAGCCAGCTACCCCTACACCCGTGCCTTTCTGGATCTTTCAGTCCTTTGCAACACCCCCCCCCCCCACCCCACCCCCCGCATTGCCCCATGACTTTGCTTTTTGTAGCATTGGGTCCACGTTTTGGGTCATGGGCAGAAAATCTCGGGAATGGAAGCAGAGATGTGCGCGTGTGGGTACGAGTTTGTGCAGCTGTGAGACTGCCAGAGATGAGTAGAATTTCACCAGTAGCTTCTTGTGGACCAGGGCTTATACTGCAAAATGTTCAAAAGACGCCTAAAGCCAACTGCTTTTTATTCTCTTCCTCTAGTCAGGGGTGATGATTCCAGGCAGGTTTTACTTTAAATATCTCCCTTCCTTCTTGGAGTGTCACAAGGTACGTTTCTTTGAAGGAGGGATGTTCAGTGTCTGATCAAATTGCCCTCAGGAGTTTTTTTTTTTTTTTTTTTTTTAAATCAAGATACAGATGTCCCTGGTGTTTAAACTCTTGGGAACTAAAAGAGCAAGTCCAGTTGTGTTTCCATCTTCTGAAACGTACATTTGTGTGTGTGTGTGTGTGTGTGTGTGTGTGTGTGTGCGCGCCTCCCTTTGTGGCTAAGATTTTTTTTGTGTGTATTTGTTTTTGTTTTACCACTATTTCCCCTCCACCCCCCACCAATGACCTGAAAGAAAATGGGCCCTTAGCTGATTTTCCAGCCAGCTTTAAGGAGCTCCAGGGGTAGGAAGTTTGGGTCTGTTTAGTGCAACTCTGGTAGCCTGCTTAACTCGTCAGCCCTACTGCCCTCTGTACCAGTGACTTCACAGGATTGGTAAAATAAAATAATGAAATGCTTTGGCGTTCTTAGACAAAAGAGATGGGAGACAGGAGATGACATGGAAGGGTGTGTGAACATGATTTAATCTTGGAGAGAAGGGGAACGCAGAAACTTAACCTAAATATAATGGAGTAAAAATTCTAGTAAACAGTGTTTAGAAGACCTATGAAGATGTTTCAGCGTATGCTTTTGACTTCTTTGGTGTTGGTTCATTTAAAATAGTTAATATAATGCAAGGCTGCAGCTCTCATACGTTGGAATATAATTTGCATCATGAGCGTTTTTAAAATAATTGAGGCAGAATTTTGAGAGATTAAAGAAGGTCAGACAAAAAAGATAAGGGATTTGGTGAAAGGTGATTTTAATGCTAAGTTGATAGAAGATTGAGGGACACTTAAAAAAATCTTGTTATTCATGAATGTAAATGAAAATAACATAGATGATGACCCTTGCTTTATTACCAAAATACTGTGTGTGTGTGTGTGTGTGTGTGTGTGTGTGTGTGTGTGTGTGTTGACCAAGAAGTGGGGAAAATGCATTGTTTGTATTTTCTTCTGGGTTTTGTATAGTAAAGCTCCCTTCTTATTTGAATCACGTGCTTTATGCAGAGGTGAGATGGCTTTATAAAAGTGTGCATCAAGGAATAGTACAGAAGCCATCATGTTTGTAAACCTCTCCCAGAAGAGTTTAAAGCTAAGCAGCAATAGTGTAGTAAAATCTTGTTAGACCTTCTGAAAATGGTTATACTGGATAAAACCATTTGCTCTGTGAAGGAATGCTATTTCAGTCACTTTGATGATCTTGATCCTTATACCTATCTATGTGTCCAGATCTTTACCCACATCCTGATTTTCTTTTAATTGCTTTGAAAGTATCTGTCATACTCCAGCTATTATTTGATCAATAAGTATACACTGAGCTCTGTTTCTGAGCTAAAGAAGTACTTTTAGTATTTAAGACAAGGCCTTTCCCCTGGAGGAGCTTCCGGAAGAGGTGAATATAGTCCTTAGCATTGTGCCATAGAAGGTGATGTATACACAGATTAAATTGTTTTATGAAGGTTCCAGGTGTTTATCAAAGGCCCTGCCATTGGTGACTGTTAAACCTCCATTGATGTCTCTGTTTATCCTGCAGTTGGTAGTAAATGACATTATTGATTCTTACCTACCTCTCAAGGATGGAGGAGAGTAACCCACCTGCTTCTGAACTGATGCATGTCTGCGAACAGGGCACAGCACACATTAGTTTGTAATCATTTTAAAAACATTTGCGAAAAATTCATATTATACGACTATTAAATGTTTTTGAGTCCTTTGGGATTTCTAAATATAAATAAGTACACTCTATTATCCTTAGAAGTTAAAAATCAAGAAATGCAGTAATTTTAAAAAGGCATCTTGGTAACATTTTGATTTTTTTGCCCTTGGGAATATGTAATATCTGTCCTTCCCAATGTGACCAGTTTATATTCAAGATAAATTTAAAAATTCAAAAATTGATTATTGCAGCACTGATCTCTTACATATTACTACTGTTTGCAACAGAGTGAGAAAGAGTTGTTTTCTTTTGAGAACATTGTCTCTATAGTTTTTCCGGAATATTTTCTTAGGTGAAGGATTTGTGTGTGACTTCTTAATAAGGCCTCAACTAGCTAAGTACAACCAATGAATAACATTTAAATCAAACAGTTTGTAATAAAGTAGAAAAGACATATTGCATATAATAGAATTTATACAAAAAGTGTTTGGTGATGTATTGTAAAGAGTTCAGAATAAAATGTTTATTTTTTTTTCTTCTGCTAAATTATACTTAAATAATTATAGCATGGATGTGAATAATATGTTAGTATTACCTTTATGTTTTTTTTTCAATTTTTTTACTGTTTTAGAAAAGCTTACTTATGGTATTTTAAGAAAACCTCGTTTTATTTGAAAGGCAGAGAGAGCAACAGACAGAGGTAGATCATATATTTACTAGTTCACTGTGCAGATACCCACAGCAGCCAGGGCTAAGCTAGGCGAGAGCCGAGAGCCAAGAACTCAACCAGGGCTCCCAGGCGGGTGGCAGAAACTCAAGTTTTTGAGCCATCATCTGCTGCCTGTCAGGGTGTGGCCTTGGCCAAGACTGGCTTGGAAGTACAGCAAGGACTGGGTTCTAAACACTGTGACCACATGTCCATCCTATAGTTATAGCAATCTTTATGGATCAAAAATGTTCTGACTAGCTTTATGTGATGAAGTTTTGATGAGTCGGAAGGAAACTGATTTTGAAAATTGAATTAGGTTGTATTTGAGGACTGTGAAAACTCTCTGCAGTGAGTGTTGGATACATCTGAGATTCAGAATGATGGCTTACCTACTTCCTGTAGCTAAGGTATCATTGGGTAGTTTGTCCTGTGGGAGTCACTGTTGATAGTGTGAAAATAAGAGAGCAAACGCTCGCCAGCCTCCTTGTGTTTATGCAGTGCTCTGTGCATCACTCACGTTGCTGCCTTTGTCTGCACTGTTCCTTATTGCCAGTGCCCAGTGCAGTTACCAGTGGTAGCATGAAAGATCAATACCGAAACATTCCTCCTTAGTGACCTTGGTGAGAGTGGATGCTGCATGTTAGAACCTCTGGGGCTGAAGCCTTCAGGGACAAAACCAGGTGCAACCTGGCCAGGTTGCAATGAATCTCTTACATCTGCCATTCTTGTCCACTCAGGCTGTTACTTCTAGGAAGAGGCTTTTGTTTGTTTTTGTCTGAGGGATTTTAAATAGAACATACAGATGCTGTAAGTTACTCAGGGAAAAGGCAGACTGTGGGTTTCTATCCTTATCTCTACTTTGGAACTCGTTGGGTGGGGGGGAAGGGGACAGAACTTTTCATGTCCTGTTCTTTCCTCTTTTTGTCAAACTTACAATTGCTTTGTGGCTTGCCTTGTGGTTTTTTAACAACACTCCTGAACTGACTGCAGCCAATAATCTGTCGGTCGTAGCTGAACAGTGATGTGTGTGTTCTGTAACAGTAGTTTCTAAAGCTGGTGTGATGGGCAGCTCATGCGGAGAAGAAATGACAGATATCTATCTGTGACTTCATTTTTGACCTACATGCACGTGTGGCCTTTTGGAAAAGCTCATGATGTGTAGAATCAGCCACCAAACTTTTGAAATGAATAGTATAGCTCAGACTTTGGGAATCATTTTTTCTTTTCTTTTAAAAAATTTAATTTGATCTTATTTCAAATGCAGACACACACACACACACACACACACACACACACACACACACACACAATGCCGTTCAGTGTGAGGAAATTGAGATCGACCATCTGTTTCTTGACTTTCCAGATGTCTGTATCAGTTATAATTGGGCCAGGCCAAAAGCAGGCCCAGAATTAATCCAGCTCTCCCTGTTGAGTGGCAGGACCCAACAACGGAAGCCATCATTTGCTGCCTCGGAGGATGCACGTTAGCAGGAAGCAGGATCAGAAGTACAGCCAGGACTTGAATCTAAACACTCTGCTATTGGATGCAGCCATCTCTAGCAGCAATTTAATGTCTATCCCTCTTCCCTTTTTCTTGATAAGACTCTTTACAAGTTTTTGTCGTTGAAGGATTTTCAGTCATAAACTTTCATTTTAAAAACTATGGAGACAATTTTAGCCCTATTATTGAAGCATAGCTTTACCTAGATTGTAATTCTAAAATGAGAATTTAATTTCTTTGCTTAGAAGATAATGTTCAATATTCTACTGATATTATTGTTTGTATTCATAAGTCATTTGGATGGTTTTTTTTTTGGTGGTTTCATT